ATCCATCCATATCCATCCATATCCATCCATATCCATCCATCCATCAACCAAGCACACAAATAGAAAAAAGTACATGTCCATCAAGCACTGTACCACGCAAGCAATCAACAGCAAGCAAGCCACGCAACCAACACACCAAACAGTTACAATTTTTCTCCTTGTCCATGATCCATCCATCACTGTATGTGTTTTCCCCAAATCCAATCAACCAACAAGCCAAGCAGGCCGAACCAACCACACACCAACCAAAGGAAGTGGGGTAAAACAGAAAGGGTAGCAAACCACCAGCAAACCAAGCAACCAAACTGTGTTTTCCCCAAATGCTGTCGATACTTGCTTTGCATTGGTAGCCCACCAAGCAACCAACAAACCAAGCAACCAAAGCCACACAACCCGGTGTTTTCCCCAAAGGCTGTCGATATTTGGTTTGCATTACAACAAGCTAGCCAACCAACCAACACACCAAGCAAAGGAAGGGTGGGTGAAAAAGAAAGGGTCGAGGGTCAAAAAAGAAAGGGTAGGGGGTGAAAAAAGAAGGTTCGAGGGTGAAAAAAAAATGTGAAAAAGAAAGGTGGAGGGTGGAAAAAAAGGGCGGGGTGAAAAACAAGGGATCAAGGGTGAAAAAAAGGTTGCCCAAAACATTCCAAAACCGTTTTGGCGGAACTAGAGAATTAAACCAATTGCTTCGGGGCCCTCCCAGTTTCAATGCAGATCCTTGTCCGCCCCCAATCCATCTATCACATTTGAGAAGTTAAGTCCGTGAAGTTCCTTTTGACGCTCCGAGACATGAGCGTTCAAACCAGATGACCGGCCCTAGAAGCGCAGCTGCGCCACGCTTGAGTGTTCTTTTTGGCTTTTGGCCTTCATCGAACGCAGAACATCGGCGGTGGCTGTGGTGCATCGTGCTCTTCTCTCCGACCGAAACCCCCGTGGCGACCGGTGCGATGATCGGTGACCCGCATTCGGTCCTCGGCGTTGGGGCCGGTTCCGGCTCGGTCCACGGGGAAACGGTGGGGTCGGTTCGAGGGTCGGTTCCAGGGGACCCCAGGAGTTTCGAGGCCATCGGAACCGGTGCAAAACGCCACGGATTTGGGTGCTGAGTGGGGACTGTCCGGGGACTGCGTTGCTGTCCGGCAAGCGGGGTGGCTGATTCCCTGTTGAGGTTCATCAACGGTCGTTGTGAGACTCTCATCCCGGACGGTACTTGGGATGGGGTTTGACAGGGTTATAGTCATTGACATGAAATATTCTTTTTTTCAGAGCGTTCCTAGGGAGAGGTGATTTGTAGGTGCGCAGTTGCTTTTCGATCGCCTTGGTGCAAGGTTGGTTGAGGATGGACGTGGGTGAGCTTCATGATCACCTTCAGAGGGCTTCACAAGGTACTGATGCATGATCCCAGTTGTTGGATCAATTCTCTTTGTTGCTTTGGGAAGATGGCAGGGCTCCCCCAGCCCTTCCGGCTCCACCAGACCGTCGTCCAGACCGCGGTCAGACCGAAAAACCGCAGGGCCCAGCGGTGGCCGAAGAACCAGCCGGCCCAGGTGTGAACTGACATCACCAGACTGTGGATCCCCTCGTTCTCCCACAGCGACTTGGAAGAAGACACCGGTGTTCCCTCGCCACCACGGAATAGGGGCCCTCCCCGCCCTCCCCCGACCACGGAGTCTACCCGCAGTGGGTGCGGACACCCGTTAGGTTCCAGGGTCTGACTTGCTCAGTCCTTGGGACATTCCCAAACCGGTTGGGCTTCCTGGCCCACCATTCATTTGGCTTAACTGCGGGTCATCCCGAATCAACTGCAGGCTTTTACACGAAAAACAGACCAGGACTGGTCCAACATGTCTCGTCAGCCGAGTCCGGTCCCATCGGGAACCCCGGCAAAAAGCTAGGGTCCCCGAAAAAGACCATAAGACTTGAGAAACCTGAAACCCATGAGAGATTTGATATATATATATATATATACACACTGTATATATATGCACCCCTGAAACTCTCATGGAAGTTAAGTGGGGCCTTTCCACTTCCATGTTAGTTCCAGGGAGAGTAGTAGTTTCCAAAGTTGTTTTTGATTGGTGCTCAGCACGATTGAAGGTCTTTGGGATTGCATTGGATTTCGTGCAAAGAGGGAACTCGCACAGTTTCTCCTCCAAATGCTCAACTAAGCAAGGTATTTTCGCTTATAGTCTAGTTATGGTCTACTCTATGGTCAAAAGAAGTTTAAAAGACAGCTTCCACGTTGCTGATTCAATGTAAAGAACATGATTAAGAGGAGAGTGCAGCAGTGTAGAGTAAGACATCACTTTCAGAAACAGAAGATTTTCGCAATGAAAAGCCACTGCGTTTGGTCCCGCGCAGAAGACTCCATCCAGGAGTCTTCCTCCATCCTTCATCCTTGCGCAGACAGCGCTCTCCGAACTCCATGCAGTCCACGCACCTCGCGCAGGCCACGCCACGCAGTCGGACCACCCCGTGCCGATCACCCTCGCCCTACCCGACGCCTCCGCCCGCTCCGCGGCGAGCGCCGCCCACGTCTCCTGGTTGGAGAGTGGGAGCGAAGGTGGAAGAGAGGAGAAGAGACCGGTGGCGGGAGAGTATTTCGGGTGGCAGGTTGGTTGATCGGAGTATTTCAATTCTTGAGAGTATTTCCTCTCAAGTGGATGTCGGAATTGGCTGAGACTGAGTCTAGAGAATTAAACGAATTGCTTCGGGGCCCTCCCAGTTTCAATGCAGATCCTTGTCCGCCCCCAATCCATCTATCACATTTGAGAAGTTCAGTCCGTGAAGTTCCTTTTGACGCTCCGAGACATGTGCGTTCAAACCAGATGACCGGCCCCAGAAGCGCAGCTGCGCCACGCTTGAGTGTTCTTTTTGGCCTTTGGCCTTCATCGAACGCAGAACATCGGCGGTGGCTGTGGTGCATCGTGTTCTTCTCTCCGACCGAAACCCCCGTGGCGACCGGTGCGATGATCGGTGACCCGCATTCGGTCCTCGGCCGTGCGCCGGGCTCCGGCTCGGTCCGAGCGGGTCGACGAGCGCGCGCGCCGACTCTTCGGGTGGCACGTGGAGATGCCCGATTGTTGGAACCGCCCAAGGACGTGGGGCTCAATGGATCAGGTTAGATCGACAAATAGGTATGGCTCAACGGCTCAACAAAAGCATCGAACGTGCTGTTTGTTGCCCCCTTTTTGGATAGAAAGGCTACCATGCAAACTCAGCCAAAGTCTAAGAGCCCTTTCTCGTCTCGATCTGTGTTTCCCACCGAGGGTGAGTAGCTGGTCTGGTCGGATGAGGAAAGACCACCCCTGATATCACTGGTCTGGTCCCATGGAGCAAAGACCACCTGTTAACAGGTGCCCGGAGGGACAGATGGTCCCTCGGAAGGTCGCTTCCAGGTGCTGAACAGGTGGCAACAGGTGCCCAGGTTCACCACCTGTGGTCGGGTCTCCAAACAGCCTGGCCAGGAGGGTGCTGGTAGGTCTCATTCCAAGAATGATGAAGGTCAGTGCCTGACAGCCGTCATGGCAATGGGAGCCCACATGATTTGCAGGAGTATAGATGTGTCCACCCTGTGTCCACCCTATAGTATAGGCTTCCATTGATTTAAGCAGCCTACAGCACCAGTTCAACCATTTTCAATGTAGCAGTGGGTCAAAAGCTCATCCACCAAACCAGGGTCAACCAGGGTGCTATGACCCACAGCCATATCCGACAAGACTTCCGGACATGTACTTTATTCATGAGCCGCCTTAAGTATTTCTGAATGGGTCAAAATCAAAACCTTGCAAAACCGATAGGGGCCAACCCCAATTACTTTTGGCGGACACCAAGAAGTCTTCGTCTGCCGCTCGGTCCCTTCGGCACTCCCGTCGGGTCCGTAGGCCCGTGCATCCACCACCAGGTCCAGGTTGGCATGGCGCTGCTAGAGGGCTTGGGAGATGCATGAGCGGTCACGTTTTTTTGTGCACCAACCAACCGCCTCTGAAAATGGTGGCCAAAGCTGCGTTTTCCCACCTGAAGGCCAAAGCTGCCCGTTTCGACCACCAGGTCCTCTACCTCAAATGGTTCTGGAGAGGACAACTTGAAATGTAGCAAGAGCATGTTGAGCCACTGCGCAGTGAGCACTACGGAGTCCACGTGTTTGCGCCAGGATAGCGTTACATCTCGTGCCCCCCTCGTCGATCCAGCGTACGTCAATGTCTGTGGGCCAGGACCCCCGAACATACATCCTTCGCAGAGAGGACCTGTCCTGCGATAAGTTTCATGAATCTCCTCCCACAAAGAGGTGAAGCCAGCTTGATCTTCAGGTCGGACTCTCCTTAGTTCTTTTTTGTTTGCAAAGCACCAGATGATCCCCCCTCCCTTCACCAAGGCCTTTGCACAAGGCCCTGATCGTGGGATGTCCCTTCCAGGCGATCCCAATGGGGGGGTCTAGACTGCGCGCCGCCGACAGCGGCGCCGACCGCGCGTGGTGACGTGTTTTCTTGGTGGAAACCTGGGACATTTTTCGAAGTTCGAGTCACTGAATCCGCGGTGAGCTTGACTTCCTGTTGCATGAAAGAAATATGTTTCAAATTCGTGAATCGAATAACGAAGAAAAATACGGAAAACTCCTGGAAAAGACGTGGAAGACAAATGCATTTTCTGTTGGATTTCACACATCAAACAATTTTTGAAAAAGAGGTTGTCCATCCAAAGCTAGGATTGCAGACGTGTCATGTAGTTCGTTCATTCTTTCACTGACATCCTGTGGCCTCCAACCCAATAGCGATGGCCTCTAACCTATATCGTTGGAGTTGACATGAAGGAACAACTTTCTTCCTGCGATGCAAAGTTGACAGATCACAATCTTTCACACTTGTTTTTCTGGTCCGATTGCCGGTGTTTTCCTGGACAACGGAACACTCATGGGTTTGCTGCATGTTTAAGACAGAAAAAAACGTCAGAAGCTAGCTAAGGATTTCAAACGATAAAGTTGGTGGACAAGCTCTCTTGCATTTCTTGAGACTTCCTCCATATTGGAGGATCTTTCGGCGATGAAGTGCCCACGAACTCATGCCAACTCATGCCAACCCACGAACTCGAGAAGTTGACCAAGTGAGGTCCTTTCTTCGCTCATTTCGCTCTGCTCGACCCTCTGAGAAGTGACGGGCAGCTGCAGATCCTTCCTCCATGTGGACCGAAAATTTCGGTTTGCGGATCTCCTTTGGCGATGTTTCCTTCTTTTGGATCTCAAAGATGGAGAGACGGAGCCGGAGGATGGACCGGACGTCGAGCCGCATGACACTCGTCGCGTGACACGAAGGACCCTGACCGACACTCATCGGACCTGACCCTTGCCGCAGGTGCGGCAGGTCTTGGAGGAGGTGCGGTCCGAAACCCGGCCGCCGACCTCTGCGGTGCCGCAGTCGGGGGACGAGTCGGTCAGGGCGGACTTGGGCCGGACTTGGGCTCTGGCTCCCAGTGGCCGCTGAAACGGCGCTATACTTGTGGGGGGTGTTCTTGGGCGGTACTTGTAGAGGGTCGAAAGCAACTCGATCAAGACCAGGACTGGGAGACCAGGGCCTTGCTTGAGTTGCTTCAGTCAGTCAGTCTGACCTGCTGGCGGTTTAGCGTTGTTTCTCTTGAGATTCAATCTCAATACATTGTGAGAAGGTGTCTTTTTTCCTAAATGTTTGATCCTTATACAAGCTTTTATGCAGATCTGACATTAACGACTCCTGATTCACCTATGCATGCTGAATCTGAGGGTCCTTTTTCAAAGGTTTAGTGCATGTGCATCGTTTCTCAAGACCATCCTCTCGGAGTCCCATGACGAACGACAAGTTTTTTCACCACACCCCCTTTCCAGCTGCCCTGGACGGCTGGACACAGGTTCTCCGCAACGGACTCAGCAGGAAGAAACACACGCACTGGTTGTTGAGGGTTTTCTTCGCAGAATTCGTCAGATTGTTTGACTCCAGTGAAGCTAGCAAGGGACTCAGCACGTCCGATCAAACCAGAGAGGTCGGTCACGGACGTGGAGCGCCGGGTTCGTGACCGACCCCCTGCGCCCCTCCGGCCGGGGACTGAAGAAGGGACGTTCCCCCCGCGTTGTCCTTTTCGCGCTTTTGGGCGTGTTTGGAACCCCCCGGGAACCACCCCCGGAACCACCCCCGGAACGGCCAGGATCCCGCTGCGGCCGACATGCCGTTCATGGACCATGACTTTGAGCCGCCCATTTGCCCCTTCGCTCCGACGTGTGTCGAGGCGGTCGGCGGCGCGGGCCTCGCTCGCCCAGGCCGAAGCGGTCACCGGTCGCTTCCGGTTCGAGCCACGGAAAGAGAGACGTCGGGAGCCATGTCTTCAACTTGGTTTGGACGTGTCGCAGCAAGCGTCGCAGCATCAGCAACCCATGGACGTTCTGAACAAGCGCGGAATCCCAAGCATCATCCACTAGCTTGTGCTTGCGGAGGTTGTTTAGACTCCTGATCTCCTTCCAACCGCCCTCATCCAGCTTGTTCATCCGGACGATCGAAACCTGGCGTTCCGGGCGACCACGGACCTCGCCGCGCCACGTGACTGACGGTCGTTGGGACTAAGTTGAACAGAGAGGTCCCTGCAACCATCACTGCTTAGGCTTGCTTCTGTGAGAGGTCACTGCTACAGAGTCCCAAAAACCCCTAGAAGCAAAGGTTGGTTGATGGAGATTGGATACAGACCGGACGCAAGAAACATTGCCTTCATACTCACCTTCTTTAGTTGAGGCATTGATTTTGCTGGCATTTTGCTGCTAGCGTAGCCGTCAGGAAGAAGGGACCATGCTCATGTTGCATGTAGCAACAAACAGTATTAGTTAGTGGAGAGTCACCAATTTCACTGGGTCTCAGGGTCAGCTACCTTGCCGCCGCTGTGCCGCCGCGCCGGTCGACCACACTGAGCAACCTGAGGCGCCTGCGTGCGTTTGGACTGCTCGGTCGAAATCCTGAAGCTGCTCCTTGCAGCTTTGCCGCCAAGCTGCTGGGGGTAGGACTTCAGGACCCAAACGAGTGAGGACCTCCGGTGAGACCCTGTGAAAGGATCGACTCCGTCGCTCGTTGATGGACCCTCAAGTGTTTGAAGCATTTGTTTCCCCGCTGTATAGGCACAAGAGTTTCAGTGGTTGAGGACAGAATTTCGTTCGTGCTACTTCAATATTGGTAGCGGAGCGTTCTGGTTCGTTTTGAGGGCGATGGCCATCCCGTGGAGGCCAGCTTGGAGGCCACATTCGCTCGGGAGGCGACCGGCTCAGTGGATTTCCTTCGGTCCACACCATCGCATTCCCGACGGGAGTGGTGTGACCAATACTGGGAGGACCAGATGTGGGAAGACCATGGGCGAGCTGCGACCCTTGGTCGGGAGGTGGCTCGGGTTCGAATGAGTCCAAACAGGATGGTGGTGGTGGTGCTTCAACAGATGGTTGGATGACGGATGCCCAGATCAACACCGCTCAGGTGAGTCGCACCACCGCCATGGTCAATGGAAGATGGTCTGGGTCCTATGATGAATGTGTAGGAGGTGCTGGTGGAAGGTGGCATGAACCCCTTGATTGGGATGGTTGGTCACAACGCGAGTTCAATCGGGGGAAGCCCACTGAGAAGCTGGTGGTTCCGAGCTTTGATGGTGAAGCTGCTTCCGACGGCGATGTCGGACGCAGTGCTCGCTCCTATGTTAGAAAGGTGCAGGTGCAGGTGTGGCTGCGCTGCACCAAGATGCCGCCGGATCAACGAGGTTTGGCGCTCTATCACGAGTTGCAGGGGAAGGCATGGGTGTATGCCAAGGAGCTCGATGTGGATGTGCTGGCGTCAGAGAACGGCATCAGCTACTTCCTTGAATGGATCCAGACCCGCTTCATGGAGGTGGAGATCACTAAGGTGTCCAACATGATGGTGGACCTCTTCAAGCGCTGCCGCCGTCGCAGGGACCAATCGGTTCGTGATTTTAATGTGGAACTCGAAAGGCTGGTGTTGAGGCTGAGGGAAGTCCATTGCGAGCTGCCGCCGCTTAAGGGCTGGTTGTACTTGGACAACTTGCGCCTGCCAGAAAGCGAGGAGCTCACCCTTCTTTCCAGCGTCAACAAGCTGCACTCATCCAAGATCGTTCTCTCCGCAAGCCGCTTGGTGGGAACAGGGGTGACAAGGCATGGAAAGATGGCAAACGGTGAGGAAACCGCCACTCCGTGAACATGACGGAGACCATGGAAGAGTCCTCTGAGGGAGACACCTCAGGTGAGCCCGACGACTTGGTGGCTGAGGACGTTGCGATGGAGGCGCACCAAGCATAAAATACGCAAAGTCCAAGTACAAGGGAGCCCTCAAGGGGCGTGGAGCCGACATGGATGAGATCAAGAAGCGCTCGGACGAGCGCCTCCGGTGCTCCTACTGCTCGGCGTGCAAGCGGAAAGGCCGTTGGCACAAAGATCCAGAGTGCCCGTTGCAAGGCAGAAGAGGCGGAGAGCGCGACAAAGCGCAAGAAGCGCAGATGACCATCCACACGGTGCAGGTTTGTAACACCCTTCATTCATGCTTTGTCACGGCCACCGAGGACACAGAGAAGACAGACTTCATCCGGGGTGGCCTCCTTGCGATCGTGGACACGGCATGTACCAAGACAGTGGCATGGCACTCATGGTTCGAGTGCTGCTGCGACATGTGCGATGCCTTGGGATTCGAAGTCAAGACCTACGACCATGAAGAACTCTTCAAGTTCGGAGCTTCGCGGGTATACGCGTCCCGCTTCGGCGTTTCAGCCTGGTTCGCAGTGAACGGCAAGTGGTTTTTGATGCAGGTGGCGATTGTGTCATGCAAAGTGCCTTTACTCTTCAGTAGGCCAGCTTGGACTCAAGCCTACCGGAGGCTAGCGGTGTCAGCGGATTGGGTCGGTTAGTGCCATGGAGTTAGATCGCACCATATGGAAGCCTCTTTCCACGGATTTTGAGGGGATGGAGATCTCTTTACGGTTGATTAGGCGCTCAGATGACTGGGTGAATCCTTTGACGCATCAGACCTTTTTGCCTGTGGGATTGGGGGCGGCTTGTGGTTTGTGCCTGTCCCTGCATTCATGGCAACTTGGCCGAAAGAACTCAGAAGGAGCTTTTCTTCTCCATCCTTTGCCGACTTCAAAACATGTCATTGAGCCTCCAAAGAGGAAGGAAGATTTTTTCAGGCTTTCCGAAGTTTGTGCTGGCCTTGGAGGGATTTCGCATGGGGGCTTCATGACGGGGATCGAGCCCCACGTTGCTCTGGAGATCTCTACTTTTTCTTGTGCTCATCTTGCGGCCAACTTCTATCCAAGGGTTGCGCAAGGAGATGTCTCTTGCAAGGCTGCTGTGGGCCTCTTTCACCAGGCTATGGCAGGGTTGGGTTCTGGACTAGCTGCAGGCTTTCCCTGCCAACCTTTCAGTTCCATGGGGGCCATGCATGGCTTTAGCGATCCAAGGGCAAGCATTTACTTCAGGATCCTGGATGTTGCCTACTTGACCCAGTGTTCTTTTTTGCTGCTAGAGTGCGTGCCAGGAGTGAGTGGACTCAGGCCCATTACTGACGCTATGGATCGTTTTTGTGAAGTGATGCATTTCCAATGGAGAACGACCATTCTTCATTTGGATCTGGCACTGCCGTCACGTCGAACGCGGTGGTGGCTCCTTGCCCTTCCTAAGGACATGTCTCTACCGGTGCTGAGAGATCTTCCTCTCTCGCATGATCGGCAGCGACTTGGTCAGGTCATCACCAGTTGGCCTTTGTGGCCACTCGAAGAAGAGCAGGAGCTGCAGCTCTCACAGGCCGAACAAGACATGCATCATGATTCGAGCTATGGAGTTGTGCCTGGGCTTTTAGATATCAACAGCGCAGCGCCAACACTGCTGCATTCAGCTGCACATCATTTGGTGGATTGCCCATGTGGCTGCAGAGGACCGATTAGTGATGCCACCTTACGTGCACGAGGCTGGCAAGCCACACTAGTGCAGTCAAGACACCCATTGATAGGACTCAGGCATTTGCACCACAATGAAGCTGCTTTTCTTGTAGGGGCACCATTTGGTTTAGTCGCATTGGAGGGCCGCAAGGCGCTTTTGCCTTTGCTTGGACAAATTGCTTCGCCCATCCAGGCACACTGGATCTTAGTTTTGATGCAAGAAGCCAATGGCTTGTTGGGTGATCTCACGCCTGAACAGGCACATGAGAGAATCGTGCTGCATCATGTAGATGATCACTTGAGGCAATGGCCAACCAGATCGCATGCTGTGCCACGGCCGGTGTCAATTGCCATTGAACACCAACCGCCGATGCAAGTGACACTGCACCAGACCACATCGATTCGGACCCTCCTTGACGCCACAGGACATCTCATTGGTGAGCATCTGGAGCTCGATCCTCCTGACGCAGCTTGGTTGCATCCGCAAGGGTACGTCCCGCCAGGACCTGTCAGCATTAGAGCTCGATTAGTTGGGCAAGGTAGAAAGCCTTTCACAATAGACATGGATGAGCCTGCGGTTCTTGTTCCAAGAGAGGGTTTGGATGACTATACCATTCACCACCAGGCGATGAGACTCTTTGCCAAGTCTTCATGTTCACAGTATGCCTTTTTCACACCAAGATTTGTTTCGCACGTTTTGGAAGTTTGGCCGCGTTTTGCCCAACTGGAGATACTTCGAGCACTGGAGGGCAAACAAGCAGCCATTGGGGTTCTGTGGGATTTGGGTCACTGGATTGCTTTTCGTGTGGAGCGCCAGGGAGATCAGTTGAAAGCCACTTCCTTTGACGGCCTCTCCTCCGAAGTCACTGCTGATTTGACCATTTTGTTCCAAAGATTTCAGTATGCTTTGAGCTGCGCCAGCGTGTCTGTTGACTCGCACTGCATAGTCCCTCAGACAGGAGGCACTCACTGTGGAGCGATAGCTCTTTTGCACGTCGGCTTTTGCTTAGGACTTTGGGACGCTTGTGACGAAACCACTGCACAGCTCTGGAACGAGGTGCTTTTTCAGCGCCAGCTTCGTAGAGGCGGGGGTCCGACTAAGGCAGAAGCAATTCAGGCATGGCTGGAAAACTTCCTGCCAACAAAAGGTGTTCCGATCGAAGCAGCCAAGTCAAGAGCCTCAGCTGCTATCAAGAAACTTGGCATTGATGCTTTGGATTCAGCTATCTCCACGACCGACCCGTGGAGAGCGCTGAAACAGGCAGGGGGAGCACTGAGCAAGCCATTCCAGTGGGTACAGTATGAAGAGCTCCAGGCTCACATTGCCAAGCGAAGTGAGGTCAGGTATGGCACTGCTGCCAAACAGGTGCAGCATGGCAACCGGGGCAAGAGAGTTGAAACGCCGCTCAACATCACTCCTGCAACCTTGGAATTGCTTCCAAACACATTTTTTGATGCAGCCGACGAGCCACTTGGCATGATCAGCTTGCAGACCCTACGTCCTGACCAAAGGGGCATTGCAATTGTCACCGAAGAGGAAGCTCTTGCCTTCCTTAAAGACCGCAAGAACCTTAGTACTGATGCTTTTGGCTTGCTCACCATTGGAGAGCTTGCAAACCCGGACGCTGATTCGCGTATTGAGCACATTCATTGGTCCGCAGTGTACAAGCCAACGCAGGAACCAATCATCATTCGCGGTTCGCTTGTTTCTTTAGGTGACATCAGCATTGAGAAGAAAACCACTTCAAAGGCTCTCACGATGCCTAAGGTAGACACTGAGGTGATCCGTATTCAAGCTTTTGCCGATGCCACGGACACATGGGAAGACCTTCAATCCGGCCCGGTAAAGCACATCATCGCGCTCATTCCTGCCCTTCGTTTCTGTACTGAGGAATCCTGCTCCGGGGCCTGTGGGCTTTTTCATCCAGCTGTTGACGAGAAGGTGCAGCAAGTTGTTTTGGATGCTTGGGCCTGGAAATGGCTAACAGCTGAAGGGAAGAAGTCTACAGCCAGCAAGGCTGAAGCGTTCTCAGTCTACATGAGAGT